CGCACTCCGGGACCTGCCTGTACCAATCTTTCACCTGCAGTTCCCTTCCTGGTCTTCTCTGTCTAATTAGTACACCGACTGAAACAAATACTGAGATGGAAGAAATCTCAATCTAGAATTTGGTTTTAGGATTTTGATCCACTAGATGCTTGTCAGACAACACTGAAGTAGAAGGATTTGCAAATACAGAGTCCTGTAAAATGAACAACAAATTTCAACTGTCTTCCTGTGATCAAAACCATTGAAATCCGTGACCTACTTTATCTTCCATTCTGTTGCCATAGTGCTTGAGTTAAATGTGTAACAAAAGAAAATTGATTTCCAGTGTAAATCTTAATTTTTATTGTGTCCTTGGTGCTTTGGGAACGATGCGTGTGAGCATCTGCTGTTAGAAGACTCTGGGGGGAGTTTGGAGACTTGAAGTGCTGCGCCCTTTCTCAGTGGTTATTAATATATTTTCTGCAGAGATAGATCATTTTCTTAAAGAAGTAAATGAATATCCTTAGGCCCAAGGAGACAGGCTTTACTGATGGCTTTATCCAAGCAGCTCCCAGGGCACGTGAGTCAGACCAATATTTCCTAAAAAGGAAAACAATATTTATCTTGGGAAGAACAAGCTTCAAGCTCAAAAACAAATGCTTTCCTCCAAATGTTGAATGCCTCATTTGCTTTAAAAACCAATTCCATACTAAAGGGTGTATTTAGAGTTTTCAAGACTTTAACTTAATAATAATGATAAAAAGTCACCTGCAGGGGGTTGGAAAGAGGAGGGAACCAGCCCCAAACTAAGGGCTGTCAAGGATAATATGCTAAGGCTATTGTTATTAAATCTCAAGGTTTTTTTTTCTACATTCATCTAACTCTCCTTAAACTTGGGAGTTTATTAATTTTATTTTTTGGGTCTGGTCACGGGGCCTGAACTCTGGGCCTGGGCGCTGTCCCTCACTCTTCAGCTCAAGGCTAGTGCTCTACCACTTGAGCCACAGCGCCACTTTTGGCTTTTTTCTTATGTGGTGCTGAGGAATCGAACCCAGGGCCTCATGCATGCAAGGCAAGCGCTCTACCACTGAGCCATCTTCCCAGCCCCAAGTTTAATGAGGCAAATTAACCCCTTAAGCTATTTGGCCAAGGTAGTATTCACTGTTGATTTCTTGAGCCATAGCTCCAACCCTTTTTGTGCTTGTTCTTGAGATATAGCCTCATTTGTTGGTTGGAGGCCAGCTTGAACTACACATTCTTCCTATGTAAGCTCCCTCCCTCGCTGGGATTTCAGGCACCTGCCACCATGCCCAAATATTGGTTGAGATAGGTTTTCATGAAGTTTTTGCTCATATTTAACCCTTACAGAACTCAGCCTCCTGAGTAGCTAGGGATTACAGATGTCAGTCACCATACCCAGCCCCTCCCATCTAATCTGTATTTGGAAAGGCAAGGATTCTAGTTGTGTTAACTCACTACTTACTCTTGTCCAGATCTGATAGGCACTTGATGATGTTACCGTGCCTTTCAACATTTTGGGAGAAGTGGACCGATTGCCAGTTTATGTTGATAATAGTATTCACCTATGTTTCTATAGTTTATCCTAGTATATTTCCAATCTTTTTTTTTTAATGGCGATTCTGAGGCTTGAACTCAGAGAGCAAGGTGCTTTCCCTCAGCTTTTTTGCTTAAGGCCTAATGCTCTAGCATTTGAGCTATTTTCAGGCTCCCTCCATTACCTCCCCCCCCCCCCCTTGGGCCCCTGGCCATTGCTGCCACCAAAGTGTGCTCCTGGGCCCCGCCCCCCCCCCCCCCCGGCCCCCCCCCCCCCCCCCCGCCCCCAGTTGTTAATTGGAGATGAGTCTCATTTGCTGACCAGGCAGGCTTTGAACTGTGATCCTTTGATCTCAGCCTCCTGGGTAGCGAGGATTACAACCATGAGCCACCTGTGTCAGTTCCAATGTCTGTGGTTTGCAGTTTTGAGATGTGTGTTTGGCCCTAGTACAGGCTCCGAGGTTGTCTGAGAACATTCCAACCCCCCACCCACTTTCTAAGTGATGGGTGCTAGGGAGCTACTGATTTATGCTTTGTACATTTTCTCCTTTGCTTTCCTGTTTCTGTACATTGGTGGGGGTGCTCTTTCTGAGGTTTTACTGAAACAGAGAACCCAGCAAGTTTCTCACTAGTTTATGCTCTGTCTCTTCATTGGGACAACAAGGAGGATAATGACATCTCCTTCCCAGGGTTGCTGGGAGGAAATCAGACCTGGCACAGAGCTGGACTTGTAACAGAGCTCAATAAATGCTGGCTATTGTAGTAGTCATTATTGTGATTTGATTACTTATCGGAGTCTAGCACAGTACCTTTTATGTAGTAGCTTCTCAATAAATATTAACTGATTGCATATGTGAACTAGCGCCTGAACTGTGCTTTGGCTGAGTAAACAATTTCCCAGGTGATAACTGAAAACATTATGCTCAGAGACGAATGCAAGGATTCCATCTCCTCTTTCAAAATTATTTCCATAATGACATTTGCCTTACAAATAGACTTTAACACAGAAAGCACTTTTATTTTCTCTCTAGCATAGCCCTGGATGGTCTATTTGTTATTCTTTAGAAGATTCCAGAGAAAAGCTAGCTGTGGATTTCTTTATTGACTATGTAATTTGCAGTGTCTGCCATAGGAAAGTATATTAATTATTAGCTTGCCAGACTTTACAAAGCCATCTGTAGTGGATGAAAGAAATCTGTTATTCATATCCCCTGACAGCAATGCATATTATTGCTTTAAATTCCACCCCCTCCCCCGATCTGATAAGTGTAATGTGATAGAACAGAAATGGCAAGTCAGAAACAGTCACTAGAAATGTAACCAGAAATGGTTCACAGATTAAAACCAGGCTGGTATACAATCACGTCCATTTGGTTGCTTTGAGTTATACTGTAGTGAGCAAAATCTCTTATAGGTGTTGCGCTGACAGAATCTATTGGCCACCTCTCCTCTCTTCCTGCTGACCTCATTTGTTCCCTGTGTCAGGGCTCTGTATGCCAGGTCCTTGAACCTTGCTACTCTTCAAAAACAGCTAGATAATTTTGGTGCCAGAAAATACTGCTTCAATACTTCAAGTGTACTGTCTTCATGATCTTCATTTTTATTCTCACCACAAACCTCCTCTCTCATAAACTTCATTGCCTATCAGAGTTCTCAAAGTTATCCCTGTGAAAAGTTAAAGATCCTACTATTTTAGAATATCTTCTATTTAATTAAGATATTTAATTAAGATATATATATATATATATATATATATACATACATACATATTTCCTACTATTGGGGCTCAAACTCACAGCTACAAGCTCTTTCTTGGCTGGCTTACTCACTGATGGTCTACTACTTATGCTACACTTCCAGTCTGAAATGGACTCTTGTGTACTTTTTGATCTAAACTGGCTTTGAACTGAGATTCTCCAGGTCTCAGCCTGCTGAGTAGTTAGGATTACAGGTGTGAACCACCTGGTGGCCATAATTCTTTGTCACCTCATCAATTCTGATTTCTTTTCTTTAAAATAATTGTGATATTTTGTCTCTTTTGATATTACAGATTTGAGTTTTATCCTTCCTCCCCCCTCCCCCATAGCCTGGGTTTACAAATATTCAGATGGAAATCTAGTTACAGAAACTGGTAGAAAAGGTTCTGGTTATGAATTGGTAATAGATGGAGAAGGAAAAAGAGGAATTATCATGGAAGCTTAGCAAATGACTTGATTTCCTAAGGAAAACTGATAAAGTTTCCTCTATCACCCTCATTTAATAAAAGGTGGAACAATGTAACATCCAAAGACAATATAAACCCAGACATTTCAAAGTGAAAACTTGTATTTTTCTGAAAAACATTCAAGATGGTCTTGTTTATTTTGTGGCAAATTGGTTAAAAGCGCCTGCTACTTGAGACTACTTGCTGTAGATAATGGAAGGACTTACATTTCAGAAAACTCATTCTGGACTCGTGTAGAGAACAGATTGGACCAGAGAGCACCGGGAGGGTGGAGACTGTGCTAGGTGATTACAATTTCGATAAGGTGAAAGGAGGAAACAGAAGGTTGCGGAGATTTTGCCTGATGTCCTGGGGAGCAGCATTTGCGACCTGGGTGGATAGTCTTTGAGGAAGACAAAGAGATCCTTGGAAGAGTTAAAACTGGTGTTCAGTTGTCTCAGTAGGTTCACTGACTTTCTGAGCTGGGGTAGGGGGGCTGTGTATCCAACAGCTGTCTCTACTTAGTTTTATCCGGCTTGGCCAGGCTGCTGTAAAAGTTTAGTTTTAAAAAAAAAAAGAAAAAAGCAATATAACAGCAGTGATTTGCAAGTCATTTGGCGCCTTTCCACAAGGTTCGATATTATCTTCATTAGGAAGAGTTCCTTCAAAGTGAGGAATTCATGGCCATGAAGATTCCATTACAATCACGGACACGGTGACCTTTTCCCAATGCAAGGGGCCGTTAATACCGAGAAGGCGTGTGCAAAGGGGGCTCGGGTGTGCAAGGCCTGGGCTGGAGAGTATGCAACCAAACGAGGCAGGTTTCTAGGAGAGAGGCGTACAAGTGTTGGCCCCCTTCCCGCTCTCGGTCTCCCTCTCCTCCGCCCCTTCCTCCTCCTCCCTTCTCCTTCCCCCTCCCTCTTCTTTCCCCTTCTTCCGCCCTCGCTGCTGTTGTGTGGTGCTGGGGGGCCTCTCGCTGTGTCGCCGCACTTACCTGAGCGCTGCCAATAAAGTTTGGTGAATTGAAAAAACAAAAAAAGTAAGCACCCACTAAACTACAAATCCCAGCCGCCCCGGATGGGCGGGGCCACGTGACACAACAGGAATCCGGAAGCCTTTCCCACCGCCCAACCACGTCGGGAGGCCCGCGTGGCGGCCGCGGGCTGACCAATCACGGAGAACCTCGCTGCGCCGGGTCCCGCCTCCGCGCGCCGCGTTGACGGGTCGTTCGCGGATACGGCGGCCTCGGGGGCGGGGCCGGGCCTCTCCGCGTCGCCGTCGCCGCTCGCCGTTCCCCGCGTCCTCCCCGCAGGTCCCCGCGTTCCCTGCCGGTCCTCGCCGCGGCCATGGCTCCCAAGGGCGGCGCCAAGCAGCAGTCGGAGGAGGACCTGCTCCTGCAGGACTTCAGCCGCAATCTCTCGGCCAAGTCCTCGGCGCTTTTCTTCGGGAACGCCTTCATCGTGTCGGCCAT